TTGCCCGCCACTTCGGCTCTCTCAGCTTCCCCACTCCCTCAGCCCTTCAGCTCCCTATAAAAGAACCCTGCTCCTCTGAGCGGGGCGGCCATTTTCCTCTTCTTCCCGGCTGGCCCGCCCAGAAGCTCTTTCCTCTCAATAAAGCCTGAACTTAAGACTTTCTTCTAACCTGCGGTCCGGTTTTTTCCCGAACGAGCTCAGTTCTCCCGCAGAGGGTAGGTCGGACAGTATCAAACATTTGTTAGATACTTATTATTGCCAGGTGCTAGTCTAGGTGCTTGGCATATAGCAATTATTAAGACAGATATACTGTCACAGAGCTTATAGTCCGACAGGGAGAGTTACAGTGAAGCATGATGAGCATATTATATAAGGGAAAAGAGTAGGTTCTTAAGTAGATGAAAGTTTATTAGAGGAAAGGCTGTTCAAACTCAGGCCTGAGAGATTCAGTCGGCCAAAACAAAGAAGAAAGATGAAGTATCTGAGAACAACAAGAAAGATGAGTATCCCAGAACAAGGAAACAGAATAGGCAAAAGGAAGTGTGAGGAGATCAAAGAAGCTGTATATGGCTGAAAGCTCAAAATCGCAGTCTTCCAGATGCTTACAAATTCAGTTTGAACACTGAAAGAAAGGAAGATGGATTATGTCACTCTTCTGCTCAAAATCTTCCCATCACATTTGGAATAAAAACCTAGGACCATACTCTGGTTCATGAGCCCCTACAATGCCTGCCCTCTTCCCTCCTCACCTTATGTCTTACTTCTTCACCCTGGTTAGTTCTGCTCTGGTCTGCTGTCACCTTCCACTTCCTCAAGCAGGTGAAATGCATTTCTGCCTCAGAATGTGCATCTGCAGTTCCCTCTGCTAATCCCATTCTCCTTTCAGATATGCATGCAGCTCCATCTCCCACCTCCCGCAGGCCTCATCCCTCAGGTCCTTTAGGAGATAAGACATGGACATGTGAAACAGTTAAGTAAGAATGCAAGCAACGTGGATGGAACCGAAGATCATTATCTTAAGTGAAATAAACCAGGTACAAAAAGACAAATACTGCATGTTCTCATTTATATGTGGCAGCTAAAAAACTGGCTGAGATGGAGGTAGAAAGAGGAAAGAGATAACAGAGACTAGGAAGGGTGAGAAGGGTGGGGGAGGAGGATGAAGGGAAGCGTGTTAAAGGGTATAAATATATGGTAAGATAGAAGGAATAAATTTAATGTTTGACAGCAAAATCGGGCAACTATGCTCAACAAGAATGTACTGAACTCAGCTGACAAACACCCCTAAATACCCTGACTTGATAACTATATATTACACACACGTAACAAAATTTCACATGTACCCATAAATTTGTACAAATAATAAATATGAGCCAGGTACAGTGGCTCACACCTGTAATCCGAGCACTTTGAGAGGCTGAAGCAGAACTGCTTAAGTCTAGGAGTCCAAGACCAGCCTCATGAAATCCCATCACTACAAAAAATAGAAAAATTAGTCGGGTGTGGTGGCACACCTGTAGTCCCACCTACTTAGGAGGCTAAGGCTGGAGAGTCACTTGAGCCTGGGGGGCAGAGGTTGCAGTGAGCCAAGACTGCACTCCAGCCTGGGCGACAGAGTGAAACCTCATCTCAAAAAAGTAAAAATAAATAAATAAGAATGCAAGTACCTGTAAGAAAAAGATCAGTGGTTATAATACTGAATGAAACAGATTTTCAGTCCGTTGGAGAGAAAAGAAAGGATACTGTGGGCGGAAGGTGCCTACTTGTCCTCAAGAAGCAGATAAGATGCAAGCAGAACATGGAAAAAATGTCTGGAATGTGGCTAAACAAAGGTAAGAAGCCTTCTAATCAGGGGAATCAGTACTTTGGAGAATAGGATGGGCTAGCACTGCTTAGAGTGTTAACATGGGAATGGAGGAAGGAATAAGGTTTGGTAACAAGATTACAAAAGGAGGCCCTTGAAAATAAGCCTGAAGAATTTAGTGATTCTCTTGAGAATTATTAGGAGAGAGTGAAAGTAAAATGTCAGTGAATAACTGACTCAATAACAAATACTGAGTATCTATTATATGTCAGGTACTACACTGTGCCAATACAGCAGTGAACAAAACACATCTCTGCTTTCATGGGGGTTAGAAAAAAAACACATTAGCTGATAAAGATATGTAGGATAAACTGGGCAGGAAGATTAGCCCTGACCGAGAGAAAGAGATGCACATGACATAATACATTTGCAAAATAGGAAAAAAAGGGAATTGGGCAATGAATGAATACGGAGAACAAAGGCAAGACTAGAGGTTTGGGTCTTTGCTTTGTTTTGCTTTCCTACCCACCATTCTATTTTTCCTCACAAATGAGAAATTAGTCTGAAGTTAAGACTTTTAAGGAATTGAGTGTTGACTGACACCTATTTATTAGGTTATTAAGATGTTCGATTTTACAAACAGCTTTGTAACAATCTACTTACAACCCCACAGATTCTCTCAATCTCTCTGCTGTCTTATATGGGTGGCTTACATAAACCAGTCAGGAACTGTGTAATAAATAATTTGCAATAATGGTTGAAATAGAAACAATGCATTGCACATAATTAGGCATTCAGTAAGTATCTGTAAATGAATGAATAAAGTTTTCTAATTATTTGCTTTAATAAGTTAGAGCAGAATCAGGGTTTTCTGATAAGAATGTTTTTCTTACTTAGCTGAATTCTAACATACTTCCCTGAATGTGCTGAGAAAAAATGATGGCGAGTAACTTACTGCAGTCAGAAGGGGAATCTCCCATAATCTCCAGTTTGTTTTATCTATGTCAAAGATCACAATTTAGTAGAAAACATTGGAATGTGAAAGTCATATGGTATGTGTGTCCCAGGGGGAAAAAGTATTTGAGATCTACTGCCTTAAAAGTCATCCTCAAATCTCATCATTCTACAGATTAGTTGTTTTCCTTTTTCCATATTCCTTTCTGATTTGCTCTAATGCATACATATTAGTTGTATACATATATTCATTTTTATGTACCATTAAGCTGGACATTTAAAATGAAATATTAAAGGTTATTTGATAGCAGATTCTTTTACTACATAAAGGAATCCAGTAGGTTTATAACCTAGGCACTTGGCAATGAGTTGTGGCTAATTGCCTTTGTATATGGTAGATTTTCCTTGCTTTTTTTTTTTTTTTGATACAGAGTCTTGCCCTGCCTTCCAGGCTGGAGCCCAGTAGTGTGATCTTGGCTCATAGCAACCTCTGCCTCCTGGGTTCAAGCAATTCTCTTCCTCAGCCTCCCGAGTAGCTGAGGTGCCTGCCACCACACCCAGCTAATTTTTTCTATTTTTAGGACAGACAGGGTTTCACCATCTTGGCCACACGGGTCTTGAGCTCCTGACCTTGTGATCCACCTGCCTCAGCCTCCAAAAGTGCTAGGATTACACGCATGACCCACCACACCAGCCACTTTCCTTGCTTCTTTAAACTTCTCCACCCCTGCAAAACCATTTTCCCCCACTCAGCAGGTAAGACAAAGGTGACTCATGTTCTTCACACACAAACGCACCTTTTACTTTAACTTATATACTCTCTACTTAACACTGGGCTTCACTGCAGCCCAGAGAATAGAAAGGGTATAAGTTAATTTTCAGTGGAAATTGCATTCACTGAGAAAAGTTTAATGAAAAAAAAAATTATCGCTGGCTGTGGTTGCTAACACCTGTAATCCCAATACTTTGGGAAGCCGAGGTAGGTGAATTGCGTGAGTCCAGGAGTTCAACACCAGGCTGGACAACATGGGGAAACCCCATCTCTACAGAAAATACTAAAGTTAGCCAGGCACAGTGGTGCATGCCTGTAGTCTCAGCTACTTGGGAGGCTAAGGCAGGAACATTGTTCGAGCTTGGGATGCAGAGATTGCAGTGAACTAAGATTGTGCGATTGCACTCCAGGCTGGGTGACAGAGACTCTGGTTCCAAAAAAAAAGAAAGAGAACTCAAAAATTGCATTACAGAAAATTTGAAATATAAAGGAAAAATATTACCTATAAAACTAATCATTAATATAAAAGATTAATTTTAGTCCATTTGTTTTATCCCTTTGTAAAGGTAGTTTTTAAATTATAGAAGTAATAAAGTAATATAGAAGTTTTGTTTTCAGTAAAGGCACAATAGCTTATATTGGACTGTTCTCCACAGATAACAATTTTGGACCCTGGACAACATTTTTAAAAGAACCAAAAAACTGAAAACTGACCAAAAGTAGTCACAAACTGAAAAAGACTCCGCCCTGGTACTGTGGTTTCAATATGTCCCTCAAATTTCATGCATTGGAAACTTAATCCCTTAAATTATATGTTGATAGTATTTGAAGGTGAGACCTTTGGGAGCAAATTAGAGAACACCACGTAGTAAAATCTATGTTTAAACAGAGTAATTCCTGAGAGCATTTTCCAATCAGTGCAGTAGAAGGAAGCTAGAACTCAAGCTGAAGTCTGATTGGCTTTAAGTATGAGAGGACAGAATTTGAGGCTGCCAGCACAGCTGGGAATTGGGGAGAAAAGCTCTGAAAATGAGAGCCATAAAGATGGGAGTTCCAAATCTGTGCATTAATTACTTTCAAATCCTTGGATGATCTCTGAATTGCACATGCATTGTCTCAAAAAAGTTCATTGTAAAGCAATAGCTTCAAAATGCTCAGCAGAGGCCGGGCATTACGGTAGCTCACACCTGTAATCCCTGCACTTTGGGAGGCCGAGGTGAGTGGATCACTGAGGTCAGGAGTTCAAGATCAGCCTGGCCAACATGGTGAAACCCCGTCTCTACTAAACATACAAAAAATTAGCTGGGTGTGGTGGCGGGCGCCTGTAATCCCACCTACTCAGGAGGCTGAGGCATCACTTGAACCCAGGAGGCCTGGGTGACAAGAGTGAGATTTCATTTCAAAAATAAACAAACAAAAAATGCTGATCTTGAACTCCTGACCTCAGTGATCCACTCACCTCGGCCTCCCAAAGTGCAGGGATTACAGGTGTGAGCTACCGTAATGCCCGGCCTCTGCTGATTTTCCTTATCTGTCCACGCGTGTTCCCTACCTTTTCCATTAAAGGCTAACATTTTAATCATAATTATTTAAAATTTCCTATCTGATCCAACATCATTGGCATCTCCAAATCTGGTTCTATTGATTGCCTTGTCTCTTGAAAATGGGTTTAAATTATTATTTTTTTGGCTTTTTTGTATCTTGTACTTTTTAATTTCTTGCTGGACAGAGAAGGTAGGACAGTAGAAATGGAGATAAATAGTAATAAGTACTATTTATTACTGGAAATGACATTTCTACTGTTTGCTTGTAGAGGTTTGAGTCAATATAGTCAGGAATTGAGCAAGATTTGTCTTTTGCTGTTGCTATGTTTATGTTCTGTGTACCACAGGTTTAAAATTGCACAAGATTTACCTAGTGCCTAAGGTGGGATTTGGTTCCCAGAGGGTTTTTCCTCAATGTCCTGCTTCTTCCTTAACTTTATGCCTTCTCTACAAATGTGTACCTCAGAGTTCTCCATGCTTTTGCCTCTTCCCCAAAAGTAGACTTCTGTTGTTGTCTTGGTACTTGTTATTTGGCACTTGCTGTGGGGGTAGGGTAGGGAGAGAGAGGGCAGAAGAAATTTCTGTGGTCCTGCCTCAGTCTCAGACTTAGGCAGACCCTGTATCTCTGGGTCTAGGAGTGAAGGTTTCTCAGTGATCATATCCCTCACCCAGAGGCAGGAAACCTCTCATGGAATGGATCCATAATAGTTTCTTGCCAAATTAGAGGGTTTTGTTCTTTATATTTCTCCCAGATGCAATGGTATGTCACTTTTGCCCTGGGGGAGGTAAGTTTACTGCCCTTACCCTAACAACATAAGTATTTTGTTTCTTAGGGGAGAAGGGTCTGGGTGGAGCTTTGTGTGTTTACCACAGAACTGGCTATTCTCTTCTCCAGGTCTATACTACCAATGGAGACTTCCTATGAAATCCCGCCCTGACTCTAGTCTTTGATCTATATCCAGTGAAGTTGGTGAAAACAAACCAGCAAGAGAATGCAAACTATCTTTGAGTCTAGGGCTCTCAAGGGTTCTATCTCATGCTAGAACAAACTCAGCCTTTAGCAATTTGTTAAGTATTTTAGCTGGATTCTTCTTACCTGCTGGTATGGTGGGCTTTCGTTCCCCTTATGCTTTGCCACAGGTAAGTCAGGGCTTTTCATCTTCTCTCCTCTTGAAGGTGCCTATTTTTCCTTAGAATTTCAGGCTATTTTGGTGCCTTACCTCAGTTCTCGAGTTGGGGGGTGGTTCAAGACAAATTATGATTTTGTTCATTATTTTTTCTTGTTGTTAGCAAAGTTAAAACATTTCCAGCTTTCTAGATATTAGGCAGAAGCTATAAGCATTCCTAAGGATATAAAATGTCATATTTATCATATTCTAAATTCTCATATATATTTGGATTGATTTCTAAACTTTTTATCCTATTTCACTAATCTGTCAATCGATGCATGCACCAGTTACATGAATTGTGGCTTTACTGTAAATAATGAGGGACATTTCATCCATCCTCATCATGTTATTTTTCAAAAATTTCTTAGATATTCCTGCTAAGTTCATTTTTAAATATAAAGTGTAACATAATTTTCACTTTAGAGAAAGAACTGCACTTAAAATAGTATATGCTTAAGACAGCACTCTACAGCTGTAGGTCTAAAAGAGACCCTATTTCTAATCTTTTAACAATTTAATAATGTTTTTCTCTTATCAAATCCACACTTATTCACTATCACAAAATAAAACATAATAGTTAAATAAAAAGTAAAATTACCTGCAATTCCAGTATCCACTGTTAGCTTCGGACTATATCCTTGTTACAGAACGTTTACTACAGAAGCAGACACATATTACACCTATTACATATAAATGATTTCACACTGCATAATCTTTTAAACTTAAAATTAAAAATTAAATATTAAAACATTATTAAAATATTTAATAATCATTTAATAATAGTAAATATTAACAATGGTTTACAAATAGATACCCTTCTAGGACAGTGATTTTCAAATATGCTGCTTGGAACTCTAAGGATTTTTAGAAAACTTTTCACGGAGTATTCTGCACGGGGTTGGAGAATAAAGCTAAGCCTGGCTCTGGCCCACTATTCTCTTTTCTAGTAGAATATTTATTTGTCTCTTTTATTTCTTAGGATTCTGCATAGGTTTTAATTTAAAAAAGGGCCCCAAAAAGAAAAATATGTCAAAAAACACCATTTTGCACCATCAATTAATTTTGTATAAACTACTTCAGGCATACAAAAAATAGAGTATAATATAAAACTTGAGCATGTATCTCTAACCTCAATGAATGGATATAATTGAAGCTTTCTGAATACATCTTTTTCATTCCTCAGAAGGAATCAGTCACTATCCTTTATCACTCTTCTGCAAGTTCTTTTATATTTATATATCCTGTAATCCCAGGACATTGGGAGGCCAAGGTGGGTGGATCACCTGAGATCAGGAGTTCAAGACCGGCCTGCCCAACATCATGGAACCCCATTTCTACTAAAAAAATAAATTAGCTGGATGTGGTGGCAGGTGCCTGTAATCCCAGCTACTTGGGAGGCTGAGGCAGGAGAATCACTTAAACCCGGGAGGTGGAGGCTGTACAGTGAGCTGAGGTCATGCCACTGCACTCCAGGCTGGGTGACAGAGTGAGATTACGTCTAAAAAAAAAAAAAATCCTTTCCAAAGAAGTTGGGGCAATTTATATGCACATTAAGAATAAATGAAAGTTCCAGTTCCAGTTGCTTCACAGCCTCACACTCATGTTCTTTTTGGAAATTATTATTATTTTTGAGATGGAGTTTCTCTCTTGTCACCCAGGCTGGAGAGCAATGGCACAATTTTGGCTCACTGCAACCACAGCCTCCCAGGTTCAAGCAACTCTCCTGCCTCAGCCTCTCGAGGAGCTGGGATTACAAGCACATGCCACCACACCTAGCTAATTTTCATATTTTTAGTAGAGATGGGATTTCACCATGTTGGTCAAGTTGATCTTGAACTCCTGATCTCAGGTGATCTACCTGCCTCCGCAGCCTCCTAAAGTGCAGCAATATAGGCGTTAATGCCTGGCCAGTTATGTCCTTTTTAAATTCATTTTTGCCAACCTATCTAATTTGGTCTTAATTTGCATTTCGTTAAGAATGAGCTTGCACAGGAGGTTGTAGAAACCTCTGTAATATTTATTGGCCATTCAGGTTTCCTCTTCCGTTAATATTGTTAAGCATATTTATAGTTCATATTTTAAAACTAATCTTGGAACTAATCAGTACTATGTATTACAAATATCTTCTCCCATTATGTGACTTATTTCATTTTTGTATATGTTTTCTGTGCAGAAAAAATTTAAAGTTGAATGTAATAAACTATTCAGCATTTTCCTTTATGTCATCTTTGTGTTTTATTTTCATTTTTTTTTAACCTTACCTCTAGATCAAAAAGATAGTCTCCCACATTCTATTAAAAATGTCAAGGTTTTGCTTTTATTTGGGCTTGTAATTTGCCGGAAAGGTGTGTGTTTGTGTGTGAGATACAGGTCCAATTTTATTATTTCATTTAGATAACCAACCATCCCAACCATTCTTTCTCTGATTTGTGATTGAACATCTGCTACTTATTAAGTTCTCACAAGTTTGAGACTATTTTGGAGTTCTGTGTTCTGTATCTATTGTTTACTTTTCTATTATTGAGTTTGACATTCTTTAAAATACTATGATTTTATAATGTATTGAGAGTTTTTAGGGTAAAACTTCACTTCATCCTTAGTCTTCAAACTGTCTTGGCTATTCTTGGCATTTAGCTGACTCACATAAACTCAAATTCTTAATTTCTGAGTAATAATGTTGTCCCTAAATCATCTAATTTTCCATTTTTGTTAGTATATAGAAATGCAACTGATTTTTGAAATTGGCCTTCTATCCTGAGACCTTGATAAATTCATTCTTAGTTCTAGTAGTTGTTTTGTTGATTCCTTAGGATTTTTTGTACAAACAATATGTCATCTGAAAATAGTTATACTTTTTCCTTTCAGATATTTATCTTTTGTTTTTTCTTAATACACTAGCTAGGACTGCCAATACCATGTTGAATGGAATGAGTAAGGAAGGAACTAAGGGGACATCCATTACTTGTTCCTGATCTTAGGAAGAAAGCATTTAATATTTCACCATTATGTTGGGTGTAGGCTTTTAATTGATGACCATTACCAGATTGAGAAAGTTATTTTATATTTCTAGTTTGCTGAGAGTTTTACATTACAAATGGGTATTGTATCTTGTTAAATGCTTTTTCTGCATCTATTGAAATGCTCATATTTTTTCCCTTACTATGTTAATATGATGAATTGATTTTCAAATCTTAAACCAACCTTTCAATTCTAGTATAAACCACATTTAATTATGATGATTTATGCTTTTTATATATTAGTTAATAATGTTGAAGATGTTTGCATTCATGTTGTTGAGGGATACTAGTATCTAATTTTCTTGTAAGGTCTCCATTAGGTCTTGGTATCAGGCTAATGTTGAACTTACAAAATGAACTGTAAAGTGCTGCCTCCTCCATTTTTTGAAGAGTTTGCATGTAAAATGTTTTATTCCTTCCTTAATTTTTGGTAGAATTCAATATGGAAACCATCTAGAACTTTAGTTTTCTGTGAATCACAGCTATTTTAAAGTTTGTTTCTGATAAAACAGTTGTACTGTCAACTTGGACAAGCTGAAACTACATTTCAAAGAATCTCCTTCCGTTTTGCTCTGGATTGGTTGGCCAAAATCAAAATATGCATGAGATTTAGAAGTCAGAGTGCAGTAGTAGCTAATATACTCTGATGGTTCTTTGTGGTGAGAAACAAATGCAGAGGTGCTGGTGGGTTCCGGTCTGTTCTTGTTCTTCCCTGCTCCATGGCCACCTTATATTTCTAACTGCAGAACCTGTTGACTGATTATGACCCAAGGCTCACTACCAAATGAAGTGACAATACCTTTACACAACTTATACAGCTTTCTTCTGCAGACCCAATTCAGAACTGGATATGCCTGGCTTCTCAATTTACCTGACAAGCTGCAATTTGGCCAACTATACCTGTGCTTCAGAAGGGCTGGTTCATGACTTTTCTCTGATCCACCAACTAATCGTTTGGGATCCTTACTTCCTCAGTTTCTTCCACAATTGTGTCAAATCCTGTGCTATAAATTCCTTATTTCATAATACTCACACTGGTTCTGCTTCCCTGATTGAACTTTAATAGAGGTAACTTAAAAACTAAAATTTGCTATGGATCTGTTTTAAATATCCTTTCCCCTTTCTGTTTTTATAGTCAGTTGGTTTTATCTTGCATGCCTTGTAATTTTTTGATTGCATGCTGGACACTGTATCAAAGTTGTAATAACTTGAGGCTCTGGATGATGTTATCTTCTTCCAAAATGATAAACTTCTAGCAGTGAGTTAGGGTAAGAACAGATCATCTTAATCTTGTTCAGAATTGAGCTAATTTCACTTTGTGATGGCTTATTTTGGATTTATGCTTTTCTTTTAGGAAATAGCTCTTCAAGGATCCCCACTTAAAAAAAAAAGCTAGCATTTAATGGAGTTCCTCCCCTTTGGCAGGCCATGAACTCCTGGTTTGAATCCCCTACCCTGTGTGAGTGGTAATAGAGCTGCTCAGTTTTTCAGTCTCTTGGCCACTGGTTATAAATTGTCTTTGGGGAAAAGTGGTGTTAAATGTTAGGTTCACTTTTTTTGAGCTTCTCTTCTTTTTAGGATTCTGGTCCCTCAAGGCCTTTCTGCAAAGCATTGGAAAAAATTATCTATACTAAATCCAATTATTTCCCTCTCATTCTGATCTAAACAGGATTTCACGCCCGCCCCTGTGGTTAAACTGCTCTTACAAAGGTCATATTGCTATATCCAGCTGACAGCTCAGTCCTTAGCTAGTAACAGCAAGCACTGCTTCCTGGAAGCATTTTCTTTATTCTTTAGAGCATCAGTCTCCTTATTTTTCTTGTTTCATTGGCCAACTTTCATTATTTTTTGTTGGGTTCCTATCTTCCTGATCTCTTAACATTAGATGGCCCAGGCCCCAATCCTGGGGCCTTTACTCTTACTTGAATATCCCTTGGTAATCTCATTCAGTATCATCAATTTCCCTATCATGCATATGCTCAGGCTCCCAGATTCTATCTCCAGTTTAAACTTCTCTTCTGAACTCAACGTCTTGACTTAAATATACACACATTGGTAAGAATTTCAAACTTGTCCAAAACATAACTTCATACTTTCTACCACAAACTTGTTTTACTGTCTTCTAAGTTAATTGCAATCTATCCTTCTAGTTACTAGGGCTATAATCCTGAACTCCTCCTACTTCAAATCCAATCCTGTGGGCTCCAACTTCAAAATAGATTTAGAATCCTCCCGCTTCTCAGAACCTTCACTGTCAACTCCTTGGGCCAAGACACTATCATCTCCCATCTGGATTACAGTAATAGTCTTCTAAGTAGTCTAAGATTCCTTAAAAATCTAAATGAGATTATATTATTCTCTCAAATCCTTCAAATGGCTTCCAGTCTCAGATTAAAAACTTCAAGTACTTACAATGGTTTATAAGACCATTCATAATCTTGCCTCCAAGTATTCCACTGGCCTCATCTCTCACTCTTGTCCTTGTTTACTTGTCTTCAGCCACACTGGCCTTCTTGCTATTTCTTAAAAATGCTTCTGCCCCCTGCCTTTGGGCTTGCTGTTCCAAATGAACATACTCAGAATGCTCTTTCCCAGGAATCTTGATGGATCACACTATCATTTCCTTCAGTCAC